ATGAGGTGCGAAAAGGGACAACCAGCTGGCATTCAAGACTGAAAGAAAACCAGAAACAAAAGCACGATTCTGACTTTTTGTTTGGTCAAAAACCCTATACTGCGCCATTCTGTGAATATAAACAATCCTAAAAACAGACAGATAAGAATTTAAATACAAGAAAAACTAAAATAAAGCAATTAAAAAACTAGTAACTTTCAAATGCCACCAAATACTGTCAGAAAATTACCTGTTCTCATTGGTAACTTGAATTGTTCTGCCGCTAGGGACTAAGTCAACCGTACGAAATCGACCTAACTCATCTTCAGTTACAGAAAATGTCAGAGAGAGATCAGCCACATCGCTTGTTGCCGTATAGTGTTTCACATAAGTCAGGCTTTTGTAGAGCTCAGGATCAAGCTGTGAAAGTTCATCAAAAGCACATAAATGCCGACCCAAAACAGTCGCTAAAAGCACAGGAGCTAAATGCGCTTCTGTGACTATCCCCTAAAACAAATCATTCGGTTCAAGCAAGAGGGATTTTGAAATATTAATTCAGTGAAAGAAGCACAGAAGCTTTTGAAAATGAATCAGTAAAAGATTAAATCCAAAAAAGACTGCTAAGCTGGTTAGATTTAAAAAAGAAACTTGTTTTGGCTGAAAAAATAGCTTCTCTTTCAGGCCACCAAACAGTAAATTCAACATGACAGAATACAGCTTTATCACCATCGACGAAATCCAAAATATCAGGTGGCTTTTGAAAGGTGCAAGATTACTTGTATTTCAAAGAGTCATCTATAGGAAATTAGACTCGGAAACTTCAAACAACTTGCATTATAACTATCATCTGTATAAAAAGAAAATTATACTTCATAAATGGCTTTTGCTAGCATTCGACCAACAAACTCAAACAAGCCAAGATGATTATCATGAAGACTGGATGTTGCTGACGGAAATAGCTGCCCATTAGAGCACTGCAAAAAATACCATCTTTCTGTGCTGTGATACACTTACTAAAAAGGAAAGTCAAAGTAAACGAAAAAAATATAGAGAGCAAAAGAAAGATTATAAAAACAAAAAAAGTTTAAGGTGTAAGTTACCTTGAACAAGTTGATATCAGGATTGAATACTTGTTTCAGGGTAAGTTCCAAGAATTCTTTGAAAACTCCGTCCTGATCGATACCAGCCTCATCCAACCCCTACACAAATTTTCCAAACTAAACTTAATACCAACACAAAATGCTTTCAAATAAGCGTTCACTAGTTTATGCAGTGTCAACCCCATTAGCTTAGGTTCATTTAAATTTCTTTACATCAAAAGACCATCAGAAGTTTCCAGAGAATCAAAAAGGAGTTTTTCTTAAAACGAAGCTGCTATAAAAAGACATGAAAGAACAAAACGCTAATAGCCAGAACAAAAACTGTCATAAATACAACAAAATAACCTGTTGATTGATAAATTTGACACGAATAGTAGCTTTGAGTGCACTGGAAGACAGCATAGACAACTGTCTGTATCCATCCTCCAGTAATCTGTTCCTAGTTACAGTAATTAAAGTGCTCACAGTCCCTTGGTAAGTTTCTTTCTCAGCACTAACATACTTTCTAAAACAATTAAGAGGTAGTCCGTAACAGTGAAAGAACAAAATAATGTATGTTTTGCAAAGGGAAGCGAAATTAAGGAAGAACGGTATCTGCATCTAGTCATTGGCAAAAAAAAAGTAATTTCTTCAAAGAATTTTGGAAACGTCAGATTTAACGAGCAAAGTAAGAAAAAACAAACCCAGAAAAGTACATTTACTACACAAAAAATTTTTAATTAGACAAACCTGAACAACAAAATTCTTTCATTAAGAGTAACCAGATGACTCATTCGTGAAATCAGAAACTGCGATCGTTCAATTTTCTTTTCAAATTCAGAAATTATATGCGAGCTTTTAACATCTCTGAAAAATAAGAATTTCAGCAGAAATTTAATTTGCATTATTCACCTACTGACTAGAAAAAAACTTAACAGAAATAGAGAAACAGATAAAGCAGTAAAGAGCCTTACGGTGCAAGCCAAAATTTAGGATCTTCATTTGTGAAAGATCTTCTACAATCTCGATTATACAGTAACATACACAAATTATATATTGAATTAAACAGCGAAGACGACGATGCGTGGGTAACTTCTATAATTAGAAGAATGTAATATACATTACTGGAGAGGTTGGAAAGAGTAGTACACAAAAAGCTAACCCATATAACCATTCCAAATAACTCGGAAACAGAAATGGTTACAAAACTTTGCTAAGCCTTGAAGCTGCTCCAAACTAAATGGTTTTCCTTGGTTATACATTTCGTCTTCATCTAGGATCCTTAAAACCAATTACTAAATTAATATGAATTATCAGGTCATATTCAAAAAATAATGACTTTAACATTTATGAAGTACTAAAATATTGATCAAGAAGTGGGTGGAAATATAGATGCTATCTACATTTGGGGAATTTATTATGTAATCACCTAATCCTACAAAAGCCTTAGTTTATCTAAATGTTCTGGCTTAACCTCTCTCAATATAACTAAACATTTCATTGAACGGACTAGAAAAACTAGCAGTAAAACGTAGAACCCTAAAACATACGAGATGACAGTTGCAGCACAATTAGCAAACAAAATAAGGGGTGCGAAGTGCGGGACTTCATCAGAATGAGCTGAGAGCAGAGAAAGACTATATGTTAAACCACTGTCTGCAGGAGAGAAATGAACGATGTAAGAAAATAGCTGCGGCAGTAAAAAATCCTCTCGACACAACCCTTAATAATGGTAAAAGACCTTCAGTTTCGGAAATTAATTATTCTAAGCAGAGTAATAAACCAAACGAACTACGGAAAATTTAAACACCAGAAAACTAAAATCGCAACCCTGTGAAAACAAACTACCAGCAGTTATGTCGGTCGCCAAAGTTGAAAATGTATGAATTGCTTTCTGATACAGTTGACAAACCACCGCAATCATCGACAGCTCTGGCAGTTTCTGCCCTTGACTACCTACTTTGGAATCAGCTCGAATACTATTTAACTTCTTCCATAATCCTGTTGTAAGCAATAAGTATCATCAAGAAAAGAGTTTGGCCGAGCTTAATGAAAGCAAACTGTTTCAGCAAATGCCAGTTTAAAAATAATCTCCATACTTAAAATTAAGGTTTTTCTCAAACAGTTCATGAACTATGTAACTTAAAATAATATAAGTCTTAATTATAAAAAAAAAATATTACAAAAATTCTCTACTTTGTATGGAAATACTCAGATCTGATTGTGAAGTGCGTGAAGTTTTTTCTGTAGTTGTGGAATCTGCAGATGAACCAGAGCTAAGGACATCTTTAAAAAAGCATTTTACAACTGATTTACACCATAAAAACTTGAGTTGTCCAATTGCTAAAGGAATAGCACTTTCAACACTGAAAAAAACAAGGTTTAAACAAAATTGATTGAACTTAAACACAAGCTGTCTAAGGTTTTTATAACTTAATTTCCAAAAAATACCCGTGAGGAATTGGTTCACAGTACCAGCCAAACACAGGATGCCAGTGACTACAGGCGTCCTTCTTCCGTAAAACAAATTTATCGCATCGTGACAACAGAAGGTTTACAACATCTGTCCAGTCAATTAAGCACTCAACCAAATGCTAGACAAATAAAAAAAAACTATAGCCACCAAAAAGTTTGCTGCCGTGAAAAAAGTTCAATTGACTGACTCATATAGAAGACTTACCACCTAACTAATATTTAACATATCTAAAAATGCTGAATGTAAACCTTCGTTTTTCAAATAGAAGAAAACGAATAAAGATGGTAAATATATAAAGAAGCTATAACTTCACTGCGAACTTTCATAAATACAAACCTCTAAATTCCGTGAACTTAGATGTATGAGATTTGCAAGGAGAAATAGAGTCTGATTGCCACTCAAAACTGCCGGTAAATCATCTGATTTCAAAATAGCTGTTAAGCAACGACCAAACATATTGTTGTTCAACAATAAATCAATGCTCTAAATCTCAATATCTTTTTTTAGAAAACCAAGAGATGTTTGATGAATAAATTAAGTGCAGAAATCTGAGGTAAATCAGGATGATTTGACAGCTTACAGTTGCTGAAAGGTGAATTAGAAGCACAGGACATGTCAAACAGTGTTTCACGAAGAGTGTCAGTTCAGGTAAAGAAAAGTTAGAATTCTTGACTACCCTAAAAACAAATAATTAAAGTTTGAGCGAAGCGGAATAAAATTTACCAGTAGCTGAAAAAAATAACCTGAATAAAACACTGAAAACTCCATTCAGTGTACTAGATGAGACTGCTAAACGTCCACCAGCGGCCATTCTATGTAAGGTAGACTAAATAAATATGAAAAATTGTAAACAATCAAAACCCGAATGTGTTGACAAAAAGACAGAATCCCCTACAACGAATTCATGAAAATACCAGTGAAGAACAAATCAAATTTATAAAGTAAATGATTTATTTAGGTATAAGAAGTTTGAAAGATACTACTACAAAAAATTCATTTAATTCTTCACTATATTCATTTCTGGTTAGGCTTTATAAAAGAAAACAGCCAACCGCTAAAGAAGAGAAGTTTAAAGGGTCAGAAAAAACTGCGCTGATGGTTTTGGAACACATCTGGTTGAGAACTGTACAAATTTGCTGATTATCTCGGATCAAAGCCCATCCATTGCAGATGGAATAAGTCACCATGAAATGTACCAGGATAGTTAATGCCTTACCATCAGAAACTTTTGAAAGCTGAAATAATTCATAGAAGAATAAGATTCAGAAAAAGTCAGGAAGATTGAAGAATCTTTCACGATAATGTTACTGAGTAAAAGCTCGACATTTAAAAAATATGAATAAAGTTTCTACTTAAACTCTAGAATCAGAAACGACAAGACATGAACAAAGTTAAAAAAAGTAATGACTTTAAGTTCAGCTGAAAAGCTTGCGATTTTTGAAAACAATTTATGTACAAGACGATTTGCATTTTGAATGTAGCATTTCGATAAAAATAACGAGGCATATGAACGCTGCATATCCGTTGAGTTCATACTCAATATTAAGTAACGACAAAGTTGCAGGTACCTCTAAAAGCATTAAAAAAATTAAACACACATACTTCAAAAGCATAGCAAAGCTGCTCTAAAACACTAAACTTGCTTTTCTGTAATTTCAAATTTATCTTAGAAAATTAGTTACAGTATTCATACTCTGATCAAGCCTTCTCCTACTGAAGCAGACGTATCATTTTTGAAATAAGTAAAGCATATTCCTGTAATAAAAAAGTCCGAAAAAGGCCTAAGTTCCGTAAAATACAGAAATACCAATAAGAGCAGACAGAATAATAAGCATAAAATAAAAAGGGTTTGAAAACATTATGCTCACCTCCAACTCGTTTTGCATTGTCGACATCCTTACGAAAACCAACCCGACTCTCAGCACACTTTTGCATGCTGGAAGTTGTCTAGCTTTATCTAAGTCTACAAATGAACTTAGAAGCTCGTCAAATAGCCCCCTTAAAATAAAGTCATCATTTAACATAAACCTACAAAAAAAAAGCACAGCAAAAAAATTAAGAAGCGCCAAAAAAAAGGTGCTGATCTATCTACTGCAATAACCCTTAATGAATCACCCCAAACCAAGCGCTAAATTCTAAATTCCTCAAAACAGGAAGTCGTTTTTTTCACTTACCAAACTTCAGAAGCAAATTTCCGCCGGAAAAGAAAGCCACGTGCGACTGCCTGGACTCCTGTCA